TCCCATCACGACACCCTCGAAACAAAACGGTTACTATCCCACCAGACGTGCTCGCATCCTTACAATGGTGGACAGTGCCAAACAATCTTCTGGCGGGGGTTCCCATTCCAACAAATCAAACCCACTATTCAAATCACCACAGATGCTTCCCTGCTCGGCTGGGGGGCGCATATGGAAGGTCACGAAGTTCAAGGCAGGTGGTCCCCGAACGAGACACTATTACATATCAATCTCCTTGAATTGAGGGCAGTAAGAAATGCCTGTGCACACTTTGCCTCCGACATCGTCAATCACACAGTCCGCATCCTAACGGACAACATCTGCACGATGTTCTACATAAACAGACAGGGTGGAGCCCGCTCCCACTCTCTATGCGCGGAGGCTATTTGCCTGTGGAACGCATGCATCCGCAACCCAGTCACCCTTATAGCATCCTACCTGCCCAGAGTGAACAATACCAAAGCAGACTCCCTCAGCCGAAAATTCACCGCGAACCATGAATGGGAGTTACATACGGAGGTGGCGAACTCAATTTTCCACCAGTGGGGATGGCCGTTGATAGACCTCTTTGCTTCTACCCAGAACACCAAATGTCCCCAATTCTGCTCACGTGCGGGACCTGGCAAACACTCTCTGGGGGATGCCTTCCTAATCAAATGGACAGCCCCCCTACACTACGCCTTTCCTCCCATACTGCTCATCCCAAGAGTTCTGCGCAAGATCCTGAGAGAGAAAGCCCTTGTCATTCTGATTGCGCCATCATGGTCTCGCCAAACCTGGTACCCATACCTTCACAGGCTAGCGGTCCAGCCTCCCCACCCACTACCATACCGGATAGAGCTACTATCTCAGGAAGATGGCAGGATACTGCATCCACAACTCAATACCCTGCATCTTCACGCATGGCTTCTCTCTGGTTCTCGGAGGTAGAAGAGCGCTGCTCCCAGCGAGTAAAAGACGTCCTCCTCCATAGCAGGAGACAGTCTACTCGGAAAACTTACCAACAGAAATGGACACGTTTCTGTCACTGGTGTTAGCGAGCCAAAGCGGAGCCCCGTGCCTCACCACTAAATACCATCCTAGACTACATTCTGGACCTTAAAGCATCAGGACTGTCAATCTCCTCTCTAAGAGTACACCTCTTTGCAATAGCAGCATTTCATACCTCAGTAGACGGCTTCTCCATTTTTATCCATCCTATTACGAAGAGATTCCTCAAGGGACTCCAGAATGTGTACCCACCACATAAGGCCCCACCCCCTTTGTGGGACCTAAATCTTGTTTTGAACTGCCTCACCAGACCTCCCTTTGAGCCACTGGCAACAGTACCACTTCCCTTCCTTTTTATGCAAGTCTGCTTCCTCTTAGCCATTACCTCCGTCAGGAGGGTGAGTGAACTCGGAGCATTAATGTCAGAACCTCCTTACACAGTTTTCACAAAGAATAGGGTCATACTGAGACCTCACCCCACGTTTTTGCCAAAGGTCTGTACAGAATTCCATCTCAACGAACCGATCGTATTACCTACCTTTTTCCCAAAACCGCATTCTTCGCAGACAGACGCCAGCTTGCACACTCTGGACATCCGGAGGGCTCTGACCTTCTTCCTAGATAGAACAAAACCATTTCGTAAATCTGAAAGACTTTTTATCTCCATTGCTGAACGATCCAAAGGGACACCAATATCATCGCAACAAATCTCAAAGTGGATATCGACATGTATAATCAAATACCACGCTCTGGGCAATAAACCGCTACAACGTCCACCACGAGCGCATTCTACTCGAGCCACGGCTGCTTCTACAGCCTTTCTGGGCAATGTCCCCTTAAGAGACATTTACCGGGCAGCAACATGGTCTTCAGACCATACTTTTGCTAAACACTACGCTATCCTTCCACAACTCAAGAGTGATTCAGCAGTTGCCACAGCAGTACTCTCTACCACTGCTAAATAATGACTCCGGCTCCCTCCAGCCTTACATTGAATACTGCTTTGTAGCCACCTACAGTGGAGCACCCACGGGGACACTACTCGAAGAAGAAAAGGGAGTTACTCATCTCGTGCAGTAACGAGTGTTCTTCGAGATGTGTCCCCCCGTGGGTGCTCCACGACCCTCCCTACCTCCCCTCTGCTTGGAGTCAAAATTCTCGGGCGGAGATGAGGAACTGAAAGGGAGGAGGTTGAATCCTGCTCCTCAGGATGCGGGAAGGGCTCGAGAGACCTCCTGGACATGCGTGGCTCAACAGGGGAAACTGCTATACAATGCTCTGATCTGCGGCTCAGGGCAACCCTTCACCTACAGTGGAGCACCCACGGGGGGGACACATCTCGAAGAACACTCGTTTCTGCACGAGGTGAGTAACTCCCTTTTCAAATACATGCTCCTATTTTTTTCAAGGGGTAAAATAAAATGGTTACTTGAAAATATTTTGTGGAATGTTGCAGTAATCCTCTGAAGAGGACTATCAGTGGGAGGAAATCACTCAAATTGAAGGCCTCTTCATTCAATAAGATCATAATTTGCACCTAAGTCAGCTTAAAAATATAAATGAGAATGGGGAGGCATGTGTTTCTGTGATCGCTATCTATCTAGATAGACAGAAATAAAAAAATTTCCTGCCGGATGACTGAACGTTCCTGCTGGGTGACAGAATGACATTATCAGCATCAACATGCTCTCTCAATGAAGCAAAAGGGGAGTGGGAGGGAAGTAGGCGAGCATAAGGAGCAGAGGGCACAGCCCCCTAGTGTATATATACATTTACTCTCAAACTACAAGTATGCTCTGGCAGAAAAAATGTAGTGTGGTATGGTAAGAAAATATATTGACTTGAGTTTGGAATGCCTGATTAGTTTGCAGATCATTCAGGAGTGCCAATAAAGCCATTTATATGTGTACCATTTACAGTAAAACTCCATTGGTCCGGCATCCAGTGCTCCGGCACTCCTGATGGTCCGGCACCATCAGGAACCCAGAAGTGCTCTGGCTGCTGGACAATTGGAGCTGCTCTGCACCCAGCTTCCCTGATTCGGCCATTGCTGAAACTGACCAGCAGCTGAATCGGGGAAGCCAGGGGCAGAGCAGCTGGGGTACTGCCAGGTTGGTCCCGTAGTGCTGCCCCTCGGGGCTGCGGGACCAACCCGGCAGCACCCCAGCTGCTCTGTCCTAGGTGTCCCCAAGAGCAGCTGGGGTGCTGCTGGGTTGGTCTCGCAGCGCCGAAGGACAGCACTACCAGACCAACCCGGTGGCAGCACCCCAGCTGCTCTGCCCCAGGCATCCCGCTAGCTCCAGAAGAGCTGACTCGAGCTGAAACGGAGCAGTCCTGGCTTGTGCTGGCTCCAGAGCCACCCGTGCTGTGCTCTTACCTACATTTAAAATGCAGAGGCTAAGTGATCAGCACTAGCCAGGACTGCTCAGTTCTAGTTGGCACTGAGTCCAGCAGCCCCTGTTTGCAGCAGCTAGGGCTGTGAGCAGACAGGGGCTGCTGCCTGAGCACCCCCCACCCGCAGCCAGCCTGGCCACCACAACAAAGGTTGCTTGGCAGCAACAGCTCCTGTCCGTGGTAGGGCCCAGCTCCCCACTGGGACCCCTGCAAACAGGGGCTGCTTCGCAGCTCTCTCTCCTATTCCACCAACTGCCTCTGATAGAGGAACCGGGGTGGGGAGGAACAGATGGCACCCTTGTCACGGTGCTACAGGGATCCTTCCCTCCTCCCCTCCCCCCCTTTGCTGCTTATTGTAGAGGCAGCAACGGGGGAGATGGGGTGCCGCAGAGAGCACGGAACGAGCAGGGACTGCTCGCCCTATGCTCTTTGTGGCACTTCTGCTTTTGAAATGTATAGGAGCCCCACAGGGCTCTAGAAGCGCAGGCAGTGGGGACTGAAGCGGTCCCCACTACTACCCTTTTTCCACTGTGCCTCTGCCTCCCACAGAGACGGTACTGGGGGGAACCAGCTTTACCATTTCCCCAGCACCAGCTCCTGCTCCCCCTGCCCTTGCTGCCTCGCTCTAATAGAGGCAGCAAGGGGGGACTGGGGTGGAGTGACTAGTCAGGTCACTAGCATTTGCTTATCGGCTAGTTGACTAGTCGCTTACATTCCTAATGGCTCATTTTTAGGTAGGGGATGCAGGCGAGAGGAGTAAAAAGTGCTTATTTGAATAGTTCCATGTGCATAATGCAAGTGTGGGTATAGACAGACATGCATGCACTTACACATACACATACTTTAAATTACATACTCCTCTTGTTTTACACTTAACAAGGCTGCTATGAGGGATAGTAAGGAAGCATGGACTGCTGCAGTGTTTTCAGTATGCTGGTAATATATTTTATCTCATTTTTATCTGATCCCGCCCATACTGTTGAACACATTGCCCTGT